AAAAAGGGGGGGGGGGGGGGGGGGGCTGGGAGGCTGTTGATCCGTGGAGATTGGTGAGGCCGGGGCTGTGAGAGGGGTAGCGAGGGCTCCAGCAGGAAGAGAGGGCAGCAGGGGCATGGCGGCATCAACCGTGGCCCTCCCTCTAGTCCGTGTTTGTGGCTCTCAAGGTCGAAGCAGACAAGCAACTGTCCCCGAACAATGGCAGTAAGAACCAGGGAGGGGGAAGCAAACTTGACCAAAAAAATGGAATCAGAAACCACAAGGGTAAGAAAGAAGCCTAATAAAGGGCCATTATTAAAAACCTGGCGCTGCGGTGGCTCAAGTGGTTAAGACGCTGAACTGCAGGCTGGAAGGTCGGTAGTTCAGCAGTTCAAGACCCGAGTGCCACATGACGGAGTGAGCTCCCGTCTCTGGTTTGGCGTGATGTGTTCAGGCCACTGGAACTTTTCGACGCGGCTTTCATTGGGCCCTTATTTGTTTTTAACTGCCTTTCTAATGAATACATACATTTTTGTATATTATAAGTTTAAACTGGGTTTTTAATATTGGCCCTTTATTAGACTTCTTTCTTACCCTGAAGCAGACAAGCTCCAGAGAGGACCGTGTCAGGATCTTCCTCAAATCTTAAATTAAGAATTTTTGGGATCCCGGGGGCCAGGGATGCCAGACTCCAGGTGGGACTTGGGGCTCCCCCCTGGAATTACTGCCCATCCCCAGACTACAGAGATCAGCTCCCCTGGAGAAAATGGGTGCCTTGGAGGGGGGTGGGCTCTGGGGCCTTGCACTGCACCCCACTGAGGTCCCGGTCTTCCCCAGGCTCCACCCCCAGATCTCCAGGAGCTTCCCAGCCAGGATCTGGCAACCCTACCTCTACATCCCCCGCCGGTGGTCAGGGGACGAGGACCTGACAACCCTGCCTGGGAACGTGAGTCACAGGGAGCTCCGGAGAGAGGAGAGATAGAAGGGGTAGTCCTTCCACCCATGAACGTTTTTGCCCGCCAAAAGCACGCTCCATCTCAGAAGGGGGGAAAAGACAGGCAGCACCTGTCTTTTTGATGCCTTCCGAGGTGACCAGGAACAAGGAAGGGGCAGTTTTGATGAGTGAAATTGTGCAGCTGCAGCAGGAGGTTTAAACTCCTCTTCCTCTGAACCTCAAGACAAGTTTTTAAAGATGCCCTCCCCTGGGGCCAGTTCCATGTTTTTACAGGCCCTGGCCGGAGAATGCTCACTTCCCCCTCCCTCTGCCCACCACCACGACCCCCCCACTCATGCCTCCCTTCCTGCCCCCCCCACCTGCATGCCCTTCCCTCAGTCGCTGTTCCCGACAGCCGGAAGTGCTGCTGCTGCTGCGACTGTCCCCGCCTGCACGCTCTGGCAGTGCTGGGCAGCCCAGGTAGCCCGGAGCACAGGAGGGATCACTCTTGCAACAAGCAAGCGGGGGATTAAAATGTGGAGTTCACTGCCAGAGGGTGTAGTGAGGGCCTATGCTCCCTGTAAACTGTGGAGCCTTGTGAGCAAAAATTGTGCTTTGTGAGTTACTGACATTAAATTTGTGAGTGAGTGATTTGGTTACTGCATAAGTTAGTTTGCTCTGGAGCCATTCTTCCTGAGCGAAGACAAGAATGCGTGAGCTGGAGGTTAAAAAACTGTGAGCTACCTCACACCAACTCAGCTTCGAGGGAACACTGGTGAGGGCCATAGGAATAAACAGCTTTCAAAAGGGATTAGATGGAGTCATGGAGGATAAGCAGGGGTCTTTGGGGTCAGAGCACGCCGGAGCACTGCTCCGGCAGCCCAGGAGCCGGCACAAATAATGGCGGCAGCAAGCCCCGCCCCAGCTCCCGACGCTGGGGCCGGGGGGAGGCATGGAGATCCCCGCCGCCAGGTTTCCTGGGCCCGCGCAGAAGCGTTGCGGCTCGGGGGAGGCCCGGAGAGCCCTGCTGCCGGCGCTGAAGCGGTAAGTAAGGGAT